CGAATCCCATGTTGGGCTCCCGGTGGATGGAGCCTGCTTCTCCCTCTGCCTGTATCTCTGCCTCTCTCTCTCTCTCTCTCTCTCTCTCTCTCTGTGACTATCATAAATAAATCTAAAAAATAAATAAATAAAGATTAAAAAAAAAAGACACATCTGATAAAGGACTATATTCAAAATATACAAAGAACTCTTAAAATCCAATGAGCAAACCCAACCAAAGAAATGGGCCATATATCTCAACCTCATCAAAGATATAGAGATGGCAAATAAGCGAATGAAAAGATGTGCCACATTTTATGTCATCAAGGAAACCGAAATTAAAATGAGATACCACTACACATTTATTAGAATGGTCCAATCTGGAATACTGACACTAAATGCTGGTCAGGATGGAACTGCAGCAACAGGAGCTCCCATACATTACTGGTGGAGACACCAAGAGGTATGGTGGTTTCCTAAAAGACTAAACACACTTGTACGTACAATCTGACAAGCATGCCTCTTGGTACTTACCCATAGGAGTTAAATACCCATAGGAGTCTGTGCACACAGTGTTCGTAGCAGCTTTATTCATAACTGCCAAAACTCGGGTTCAGCCTACTGAGTCCTACAGGAGATAGATAAGCTATGATATAGAAACTATTAAACTATGAAAAGACATGGAAGAAACTTAAATGCGTATTAAGTAAAAGAAGCCAATCTGAAAAGGCTACATCTTGTATACCATATAATATGAAAAAGGCAAAACCACAGAGGTTATGGAAAGATCAGTGGCTGCTAGGAGTTGGGAGTGAGGGAGGGATGAAGAGATGGAACACAGAGAATGTCTAAGGAAGTAAAAATACTCTATATACTGTAACAATGGATACATATTTTACATTTGTCCAAATCCAAAAAAGTACACCACCAAGAATAAACCCTGATGTAAACTTGGATTTGGGGTGATTCTATGTCAATATAGGTTCATCAGATGAAACAGATGTACCACTCTAGTGGAGAATGTTAGTAGGGGTGGTGGTGCATGCATGGGGGTACAGGCTATATTCCCTGTGAACTTTCCTGTAAATCTAAAATTGCTCTAAAACAAAGTCTCAAAAAAGAAAAAAAAAAAAGTAAATGAAGATACCCCAGGCTAACACTCATCAAAAGAAAGCAGAAATAGCTATATTAACTTCAGATAGACTTCAAAACAAGGAAAATTGTCAGGGATAAAGATAAATGATAAAGGGGTCAGTTCTACAGGGCAATTGTTAACATGTATACACCTAACAGTGTCAAACTATATAAGGTGAGACAAAAACTGATGGAATTAAGGAGAAATCTGAGTCCAAGATGTCTCTGTGACTGATCAAGTAAGCAGAAAATCAGTAAGTAGCTGAAACCAACACGAACAATCTAATGGATTTAATTGACATCTATAGATTATTACTTCATCCAATAATATTCCAGTAGAATACACATTCTTTTCAAGCTCACATAGAACATTCACCAAGACTTTTGTGGCTATAAAATACACCTGAACAAATTTAAAAGAGAAATTTTGGTGTCTGCATTCAGGCCATAATGAAATTATACAAGAAATAAAAACCAAAAAAACAGCTGGAAAATCCCTACAAGAAATAAAAACCAAAAAAACAGCTGGAAAATCCCTACTTTGCACACTTTAAATAATGCATGAATCAAAGAAGAAATCTTAGAGGATTTAAAATATATTTTGAACTACAATAAAATAAAAACATCAAAATTTGTGGGAGGTAAAGAAGGGCTTAGCAGAAAATTTAATTCATACATTAGAAAAAACCTAAAATCAATCATCTAAGCTTCCACCTTAGGAAACTAGAAAACTAAGAGCCAATTAAATCAAAAGAATAAAAATCAGCAGGTATCAATGAAAAAAAAAGAATTCAAGAGAGAAAACCAATCAAACCAAAAGCTGATTCTCTGAAAAGGTAAAATGGATAAGCCTCTAGCCAGACTAAGAAAAAAAAGGACACAAATTACTAATATCAGAAAGAGGGGACATCCCTATAGATTTCATGGACTTTGAAATAAATAATCAAAATCTGATCCCAGTGGCAACTGACTGGCTCAGTAGATAGAACATATGACTCTTAATCTCAGGGCTAGGAGTTCAAGCCCCATGTCAGGTGTAGAGATTACTTAAAATATTTCTTAAAGATTTTATTCATTTGAGAGAGAGCTGATGGGGGTGCTGGGGGGAGCAGAGGAAGAGAGAAACCCAAGGAGACTCCACACTGAGGGCAGAGCCTGATGCAGGGCTTGATCTCACAACCTGGAGATCATGACCAGAACCAAGACCAAGAGTCGGATGGTTTATCGACTGTGCCACTCAGGCACTCCTAAAAAAAAAAAAAAAAAAAAAAAAAAAAAAAAAAGTCTCACTCCAATAAATGATCTGAAAGTGATTATTACTATATGAGATTTTGTACATATGCTAAAGAAAACTGGACATCTCAATGAGCAAGACATGAATACTCTGGAAAATTAAAACATTTTATTTGTATTTTCAATTAAGAATATGTAAGATTGGGACACCTGGGTGGCTCAGTGAGTGAGTGCTGGCCTTCAGCCCAGGGCATGACCCTGGAGACCCAGAATCAAGTCCCACATCAGGCTCCCTGCATGGAGCCTACTTCTCCCTCTGCCTGTGTCTCTGCCTCTCTCTGTGTCTCTCATGAATAAATAAAATCTTAAAAAAAAATACATAAGATGAGGGGGGAAAAATCATGTAAACACAAACCTGTAGCAAAATACCAAGATACTACATCACAGGAAAGCAACTCAATGAGTTGGACAAAAAACAATGGGTGTATTATGCCCGCTCCGCCCTCAAAAAAGCTATGGTTTGAGGGACAGAAAACAGATAATGCATCTATCCTCAACTCCAATGCTGCTGCTCATCAGCCTTTAAGAGAACCACAATTATTCTTCAGTTTCTCTAGTGACATACTTAACAATTATTTGACAGAATACTTTTTCATCTAGGGATATAATCAACTGTTCTGTATAATAGGGGAGGTCACAGAGACCTCTTATTGATTGACAACACTAAGGTTAATATTTATGTGAACAGTAAGCATTGAATCTTGATGGCGTCAAGTATTTCCTAAGAGTTCTGAGCATGTGAGTAAGTTAGAACAGTGATAGTGATTTTCTAAGTTCACACAGTTTGCAAAGAATGTTAAAACACAGGGAAAGGCATTATTCGGGTTATCTCTTATACTTTTTCCCAAAGAATTTACTTTTTTTTTTAAGGGGGGCGGGAGAATTTCTCAATTTGCCTTTAAAATCTATTATGTTTTTTAAGGTTTTATTTATTTACTTGACACCATATGGTGTGCCCCGACGCCACTAGGTGCCCCCAGCCCTACCAGCTGACCCCTCCCCTGCTAGGGCGTGCATGCATGCAAGAGGAAGCACGAGAGGGGGTGTGGCAGAGGGAAAAACAGACTCCTGACTGAGCAGGGAGTCTGGCATGTACCCCTTCCCCTTCCTAGGACTCTGGGATTATGACCTGAAAGGCAGAAGCTTAATTGAGCCCCTTGGTGGGCTCAATTTTCAAAAGTTAATTTCTTGGGGTAAAAAATATGCCAGGTTACCAAGTTAATTTTTTCTTTAAAATAAAACAAAGGTAATCTTGCAAATCTAACCCACTTGGTGAAAATTAGGCAATTTTATAGTTTCTTAGTGCAGCCATTTCCCACATTGATAGTAAGAGTTGCTTTATATCACGAATAAGATTACATGGGTTCTCTTTACTCCTTTTTCAGAGTCTGTGAAAGCATTCTGGACTTACTTCAGTTTTTAAAATTAATACAGTGGTAATTTAATTATGGTAACAGTGAACCCACTGGAAGTTTAATACCTCGAAGTTAAACTCCATAAAACTACACACATATCATTTCTTAGTTTTATCCAACCAGAAATGATACCTTACTTATTCAGACATTAGGAAGAATTCATCTGGTGGGCTAGGGAAGTTGCACTTAACATCAAGTGACCCACACACTTTTCCCCAGTAACCTGCGAGACAATCATCAACTACTTAATCCTAATTTCTTTTCACTTGGTCCAATATCTTATGATTCAAAACTCTATATTATTTTATTTTACTAGTATATTTTTGGTTTGAAAATAAAATTTCAATCCAGATATTTACGTGAAGTTATACAAGCCACTAAGATTTTAAAAGGTTTGTAAGATACATAAAGCATTATAGACAAAAACTGAGTTACTTATAAGGTTCCCAAGATGAGTCCTTAATACCTTAATAGATATAGTTATAAGTATATATACCTGCATTGCCTTATTTTAAGATTTTATTTATTTATTCATGAGAGAGAGAGAGAGAGACAGAGACACAGGCAGAGGGAGAAGCAGGCTCCCTGCAGGAAGCCTGATGTAGGACTCAATCCTGGGACTCCAGGATCCCGCCCTGGGCCGAAGGCAGGCACTAAACCGCTGAACCACCCAGGGATTGCCTTATAAACAAAGAATTAGTTACAGGCAGCTCTCTGCAGAAATTCTGATATACGTGGAACTCAAATGAAAAGTGCTTATGCTTGTGTACTCCTCTACGTAGGAGAGCCGCACCACTAACAGTCTGCAATCTGCCTGCAAACAGCACTTGCATTTTTTTGATTAGTTGTGAAACAAACACATGCATACATTCTTTTTGGGCAGTTCATTTTATTACAGCTTTTTACTCTTGATCTGAGTTTAGAAATGTACAGTGTCAAATTCTATTTTATTAAAAGGAAACTAAAATTTTGAAATTGCTCCCCACTGTTATACACATGATAGCAACCCATACCTTCTTTCCAATTTAAACAATTAGTAAAAAAAATTTTTAATTAAAAAAATTAAACTGAGACCTGTACATTATTGTTCACAAACTGTAATGTATGCAAAATAGCTTTGCTAAATAAGAAAACCCATATCAAACAAACATCTCCAAGACTCAAAAAGCACACATACAATTATACATTTTTATCATTTTATTAGGAATAATTCCAAATGGGTTATGAAGAAAACTTACTGAGTTTGATGAGTTTTCCAAAAACTCTTAATGAAGATATGTTCACCAATAAACAATAAAACATCAGCAGAACTATCATATACTGGGCAAAGAGTCAGGCTGATACCAAAAAGCAACATGCAACATAAAAAAGATACAATATAAAGGAAGACAATCTGCTGGGTATTAAAAATCATCTCAATATGAACTCTTTGCAACCAGCACAGAACTAATGAGCTATCAAATCCAAACCACACTAAGGTAAGCTTGGCTGATGAAAGCCAGGATTCATTAAGGGAAGAAAAAATAGAAGTTCCTCAGTGCAAGAGATCTGAATAGTGTTTTGGAGCATTTCCCTGGCTGGTACAAGCAGTATTAGAAAATCTTTTTGGCAAGGGAGAAAAATAAATACAAATGGAATGCTACATTTTTTAAATCAGCAGACTGTCCCAGGAATGATAAAGGTATCAGTAAAGTAGCAAGGGGATAACTTTAAAACATCATTTCTTGTGGGCTCAAAAAACATTCAAAACGGATTTAAAGGTGTCACAATAGCTATGTCCAGGCATTTAGGCTTAAGGGAAGTAAAATTAAAAGAGGACACTTTTTTCCCAAGTTAAGGAGAATTTCTTTAAAACCAAGCATATTGCTAAATAGCAATATTATACTTGGTAAACAATTGGCAACAAAATAAGTTTAAACGCTGTAATATTCTGCCCAAACCAGTCCCAGATACTGTTTAATAACCAAGATGCAAACTAATTTTGTTGTAACAAGCCTAGACCAATTCTATCAAATGTGTCCTTGGTTAGATATCCAGTTTCATTTAACGTTTTGAAAGCTCATTTGACAGCCAGTCAAGTCCCTCATACAGACCAGTTCCTTGTGTAGCACAAGTGGCTTGAACATACCACTGTAAAGAAAGAACAAGAAAATACTTGATTAAACAGAAGACTATATATAACCAGTCTTTAAAATTTCTTTATCAGAAAATTAAATATTTCCCCCAACTGCCCGACAGTAATATTTAGTCAGCAGTTACCATAAATGTAAAGAAACAAAAAAGTAATATTAAAACTATAGGAATAAAGGAGTAAATAAAGTTAACATCTCACAAATAATTACTTTTGTATTTAATGATCTCAACAACTGTATTGATTGAAAATGTTCTCATACACATTTCTCACAAAACTCCGGTAACATTTAAAGCTACTCCTCCTACCCATTCATTAGGTTTAACCAACAAGCTACTCCTTAATCCGAAAAGAACATTGATAGGAAGATTAGTAACTAATTAAGTACCACCAGGTCCTTTTAACCCTCTTTTACTAAGTTCAGAGTACAGGAGGCAAAATTTTGAAATGAGTAGGAGCTGCTGATATTAGGAGCAAGCTTTCCAGATAACTGCATTCTGATCTCATGCATTCCAAAAAGTTTCACTCTTGGTAAAATGGTAATGAATCTCATGCCATGAAATGTTAACAAAGAACAAGAAAAAAATCTAGGAAAAAAAAAAGAAAAAGATCTAGAAAGAAATTTAATCACCTTTAAGAGACAGTTTATTTTTATTACTTTTCTTCACTGACCAGTTTCATTCCGCCATATAATAAAGACTTTGTTTTGTTTAAATATTGTACAAAGTCAATACAAGTAAACTCTGCTGCCAATTATCTGAATACCAAACAACTCAGTATCCTCGAGCATTGGGAAAAGGTACAAATTCTTATCTTCACAGCACTGAAAACTGGTATCATTTACAGTTTATTTTGTTTACATCAGCCTGGGACATCTCTAACAGCCTATATACAGTTATTGCCACAGCACAGTATCTGCTTTGTTGACAACTTAGTGAAAAACTATTGTAAAATACAAGTCACACTATAGTTTGTGATATCATCTTTATATGTAAACCAGTATACTGTATTTTGCCAGTATTTAAATCACTGATCTAAAAGAAGTTAATGGAGAGTAAGTATAGTATTTCCTTTAATTTTAAGTTGAAAACTTGTTTAATGTCATTATAGTTCAAAAGCTTTTAATGTTAAAAAGTAAATATAAAACTGTATTATCTAAAATACAGCTGCAAAAATACTACAGTTTTAATAAGAAAACTGAATTACAAAATTCTTGCTGCAGAGCTATTTAAAAGATATAAAATTAAAGTTAATATCAATAATCTTTAGATTATACAATTCTCATAAAGTATATCTATCGATACGAAATATTTTAAGGATAAAGTTAACAAAAATAAAGGTATCAAAACATTTGGATCCTTAAAGCATAAATATTAAAAGTTAAAAAAAGGAGGGGTGCCTGGGTGGCTCAGTCAGTTAAGCGTCTGACTCTTGATTTTTGGCTCAGGTCATGATATCAAGCCTGGTGGCAGGCTCTGTGCTGGCCATGGAGCCTGCTTGGGATTCTTGATCTCTCTCCACCTCTCTCTTTAAAAAAATTTTTAAAAATTTGGGGATCCCTGGGTGGCACAGCAGTTTGGCACCTGCCTTTGGCCCAGGGCGCGATCCTGGAGACCCGGGATCGAATCCCACGTCGGGCTCCCTGCATGGAGCCTGCTTCCCCCTCTGCCTGTGTCTCTGCCTCTCTCTCTCTCTCTCTCTCTCTCTCTGTGACTATCATGAATAAATAAATAAAATCTTTAAAAATTTTTTTAATTTAAAAAAAGTAGATGATATTAACATAGTTTGAAAATTGAACACACATTTATAAAAGCCTGAAAGGGCTCATGTCTATATATTACTGTATTTCTTTTAAAATGATGTGCTCATTATCTGTTCAAAAGGGACAATTACTTCAAGTGAATACCTGCTTAAACAACTGCAGTAATTCTAATAATCAAGGTTAATATGAACCTCCAAATACTTACTGTTCTGTTACGAAGAGACTGAAGACCTAATTTATCTGTCATTTCACTGATGGCCATAGCATTTGGCAAATCCTGTTTGTTCGCAAAAAGCAGCAACACTGCATCTCTCAACTCATCTTCCTGAAGCTGGAAATAAAAGCTAAGATGTTTACTAACAAACTGGAACTCAATAACTGTGACTAACTAGGTAAAACATTGTCTTCCTGTATATACCACTTAGTCAACATTCAATGCATTATTAAACATCAACCTAATTTCACTAAACTTCAGACACACTTAAATCTCACATCCTTCAATTTTTAAATCCCAAGCAAATAACTATATGTCTTTCAAGTAAAGCAAAACTATTTTTCAAATCAATCATCCTATACTACTCCATTAAGGTAAACCATTCATTTCAGCTTTCATGATCATTCATTAAGACTCAGGATTGGCAAAAAGACAAGAAACACATGTGGGAAAAAAAGTATTTATGGCAGAATCTTATGGTACTCAGTAGTAAAAGTATTTAGAGGATTCTTTTTTGAACTTTTCTTTCCAGCCAGTTGGACTAGACAAGAGTAGGACAAGGATTGGGCAGTATCGTGAAAAAATACAATACAAGAGTATAATAATAAATATTACAAGGGTAAATAATAAGCAATAATATAATAAGTAAAAAAAGTAAATACAAGAGTAGAAGCTAATAGGAATGAGAACTGACACATGATACAACATGGATAAATGCTGAAAACTTATACTAAGTGAAATGTAACAAAAAGTTTAAAAAGACCACCTATTGTAGGATTCTATTTACATGAATGCCTAGAATAGGCATATGTAAATAAAGTAAATTAGCAGTCCTGAGGGCTGGGGGTATGGAGCAGAGTAGGGGAAAGAATGGGGAATAAATACCAATTGTTCTAGAGAATTTCTTTTTGGGTCAATGAAAATGTTCTAAAATGAGATCGTGGTAATGTCTGCACAATTCTGTATCCTAAAAACCAATGATTTACATATTTTAAATGAATGAACTTTATGGTTCTGTGAATTATACCTCGATAAAGCTGTTTACGAAAAGAGTAGAGGGGGTGCTATTTAGCTCATCAAACTAACAATGACTTAGTTACACATATACTGGCACAACGGTTTTACAAACTGCAATATAGTTTTAGAGGCTATGAATGAGAATTAAGATTTCATTTCAGTAAACATTTTATGGCTATCCAAGTTTGAAAGCATGACAAGGTACCTCTAACAAGGTTCCTCAAATTTTCACAATTAAATACAGTTGGCCCTTGAATAACACTGAGTTTGAAGCGTGTGGGTCAACTTATACATGAACTTTTTTGCTGTACATTACTGTAAATGCATTTTCTCTTAACATTTTTTCTCCAGTTTATTGTAAGAATACAGTATATAATTCATGTAACATTCAAAATATGTGTTAATCAAGTGTTATTGGGAAGGGCAAGAATAACCCGATTCATTAAAGCTTTTTTTGTGCAAGAGATAAATCTAAAATGAAATTTATTTCAATAAAATACAACTGGTGGTTGAAAAAAAAATTCAAGATGTGGATATCCTCTTCTAATTTTTCTAGTATTTTAGTTGACTGACAAATGCACAGAAGTATTCCAAATGAGAGTTGGGACTGCCAGGAATGTTGTAGAAAAAATGTCCATATTCAGTGGAAAGCTCAATTAGGTGTCTTTTTGGAACCTTTCCAAAACTAAGATTTTCAGATTCTCTTAGAGTATGCCACTTTACTTATCAGATTTTAAATAACGTTATGGTGTTAAACCACACTGTAGTATTACAATACTAAAACTATAAAAAAACACTAAAAAGAATTTTACTTGATATTTGCTATTTAAATGACATATTAAAAACCAAAACAAAAAGTGACAAAATAGAATTCTTATTAGATCATGGTGAGATTCTTGTCAAGCCATAGAACAGTTTCCTTAAAGGCAAAATCCTCTGCCCAATTGGCTTTACTCCCTAAAATGAGGTTCTGGAACACATACTGAGTAACTGTAGTAAACGGAGTCTCCACTTAGGTTTTGTGGTATGGTCTTTATCTTGCCTGAATTGTCCAAATCATCTGTTTGCTCTTTTCAGTCTGTATTTCTAAAACCTTACATTCTAAAGTTTGTCTTATTTGTAATCTCATCTTTCCATCATCAAGCAGTTTTTCCTTCAAATCCCAAGACTCCTGGTGTGATTTCATTATTAATTTAGCTTTAATAACATGTTTCATGTTATCCATGAGCACACTTTCATGTTATCCATGAGCACACTTTTTGAAGTGCAATTGAAAGTTGCATCCTAATGAAACCTTTGTCATTTCAAAAGCAATTTTCAACTCTTCAACTTCATTTTCCAAGTCTTCAATTTTAGCTTCAATTCACTTATTTTGCATGATTTGTTCTGGAGTTTTTTCATTTGTATCAACCACTGATTTATACTCCAAGAGTTATTACTGTGTTGTCTGTGCTCTCAGTCTGAGTAGCAGGGTCAAGAGGTCTGCGGGATGTACCACCTGGGCACCAGCGACCTGTGCTGGCCCACCTTCCCTGCCTCCCACTCCAGAGTTGGAGAGCTTGATGACTGCTTGATATTTGGGTTGTAGTCAATTACAACTGGCACAAAGAACTGCCACCTAGGACAGGAAGGCTTGGCCTCAGGAGGCAATATTCCCACCACCAAACTGTAGCCAGAAAAAGCAGAAGTTTTTGAGGACTCAAAAGTTTTATGTGGATTTTCGACTGTACACACATGGTGGGTGGGCCATGAGTCAGCACTCCTAAACCCCCATGTTGTTCAAGGGTCAACTGTATGTGGAAATAATCTGATACATGGTAAAGCCAAAATACCATCAACCAAAATGGTACTACCTTCAGGTGGAATTATTTACCATAGCTACTATTATGATATATCTCAAAGTGTGTATTTTGTAGGTACAAAATAGAGGAAACTGAACCCAATGACCTTGGGAACAAGGAATCTGAATCAAGATTCCTAATCACAGAAGTTCTAAAACTACAGATTTCTTATCTATTAAATAAATGGAGACATCCTCAATCAGAGACATATCACCCCTGGAGCATGCTAAAGACAAGGTCAGCCTTCCTTCCAACATAAGGAAGTAGCTACTCTTGTGTTTTACATGCATTCTTAAGAACCTGTGATGACAGTTCCTCAAGGTTCTTTCTAGCTGTGAAACAACTGATTGGTGTATCTAATCACAGCAAGATGTACCAATCGCTAATATCACCACTGTCACCCTGAAAAACACATCTTAGAAATGATAAATTTCAAAAATATTCTTACCATTTTCTGCAGTTCTTCAGCTCCCTCCTGAATTCTTTCACGATCATTACTATCTACCACAAAAATAAGACCCTGGGGAAAAATTGTTTAAATAAATTGCAACAGTTAATCTTAAAGGAGACACTAAATATAAAACATAAGTACAGGCAGAAGAACCATACTGAGTTAAACGTTAGGAAGACAATGTCTCCTTATTAAAAGAAAAAAAAAACTAAATAAATAGGGTCCTAAGTACTAAAAATAGATTTGAGCACTATTTGTGATTTTAACTTACATTATTAAAAAAAAAAATGTAGAGATGCCTGGCTGGCTCAGTTGGTTAAGCATCCAACCCTGAATTTCGGCTCAGTTAAGATTTCAGGGTTATGGGGTCAAGCCCCATATGGGGCTCCACAGACAACAGAGAGTCTGCTAGAGATTCTTTCTCTTCCTCTCCCACTGCCCCTCCTTCCATTCACATGCATGTGCTCTCTCTAAATAAATAAAATCTTAAAAGAAAAATCTTACTCCTAAACAACTGATCATTTTTCTCAACTTACTCTATGAATTAAATTTTATTCCTCTTCCCTTACATGCTAAGTGCAGGTAAGTGTAAGTAGCAAAATGGTCAGTAAGTGGGAACAAAAGGAAAAAGAATCAACCAAAGATGCACGAATTCACTGATTGAATTAGCATATTCAGTAAAAGGCATACACAAAGTTCTGGGAGAGGGATACACAGTTTTTGTAGGCTTCATATGGAAGTCAATCCTGTTCCACAAAGTTGTTGAGTTGATTGAATAAATTCTTTTATTTTTATTTTTTAAGTAAGCTCTAGACCCAACGTGGGGCTTTCATTCACAACCCTGAGATCAAGAGTCACATGCTCTACAGACTGAGCCAAAAAGGTGCCCCCAAATATGAAATTCTTCACAAAAAGAAATTCTTATAGTTATTCACAAACATTAGAATTTTACAGTAGAAAGCAAACGAACTAATGAAAGCAGTTAAGACTTCTAAAAACCTCCAAATGGAAAGTATAAAATTTTCAACTAAAAATAGGGAGGGTAGGTTACCTTGATAGGTTAAAATCTATTTCTATTAATATATTAATACTAAAGTGATTACTTTAAGTATTACTGTCCCCACAACCATGACCACTGAAGTATTTTTGATCATTCACTTATCACAAACTGTCTTGTGCTCACTTATTTATATAAATAACTAGATTAAATCTACCAAGAGCATAAAATCATCTTCGGTCAAAGAGCTACATCATTTTGTATTTACCCTTAATAGCACCATTATAGTACTGAGCTTGCCAGGGGACCTAATATTTATTTTAGGCTATGGTCATTAAATAACAATTTCCTTTAGTCTAGCAAATTTCAAAACCATTTCCTTTGACTTTGCTGGAAACCATCATTTTAAACCTCCTAACCTTAAAAAAAAAAATAAACCTCCTAACCTTTGAAAATACTTTTGGTGCTATAAAAGCCAGTATGGCATACGGGAAAGATACCAAATTCAAATCTCAAGACTTATTACAGAAATAACCTCATCTTGGAATATGCCTCCTCTTCTATAAAAATAAAACCATGCCAGCCAACTGTACAAGCCTGTTAAATGTAACCATACACGTATGAAAGAATCTAGCATTGCACTTGAGTTATCACAGGCATTTAGTAAATGTTGTCTCCTTTCCTATTGCAAAAGCTATTCTTTTTTAAAATCCATCCCTCTACAAGAGGCAATGCCTCCAAAAGAGATCTAATTTTATCTGGACTAATAGTCCATTTTTATTCTGTTTTAAAATGTAAATAATGCTCTTTGTTCCAAAATAACACTATTGAGAGAGAAGTATTTCAGTAATAAATTCAAAGTTGTTCACTTCCTGGGACAACCTAGAAATAAGAGTGTAGAAAACATAAGATTCTAAAGATTAAGTTTGGCTACAATAAGAAAAGTCTACTTAAAAGTCCAAGTATTTGCTTAATTATTTAGGACAGCAAAGTAACTGGGATTATCTAATGAGGGATGAGGAATTTACTACAATAATCACTGTGTCCTGGCTTGTAAATAGAAATTAGAAGCATGGTTAAACAGTATTCATTTCTTTTAAATTTTATAGCTAAATGAACTGATCAGGAATGCTAGAAAAGCTGGTGTTAAGACCTAAACTGAGATTATATCAGATAGCATAAAACTTTCTCCTGTAGACATGAGTTCTCTAGGAAGAAGTACTTGGACTTTTAATTATAAGGTGATCCAGTGATCTAAAGAGGCCAGGAATGGATCTAATCTCAATTAAGAACTCAAAAGTAAATGGGGCACTTGCGTGGCTCAGTCAGTTAAATGTCAAACCCTTATTTTTATTTTGGCTCAGATCATGATCTCAGGGTTGTGAGACTGAGCCCCATGTTGGGGCTTAAGATTTTCTGTCTCCCTCTCCCTCTGCTCTTCCCTGCCACACACATGTGCATACTTTCTTTTCTCTCACTCTCAAAAAAAAAAAAAAAAAGAAAAAAAGAAAAAAAAAAAAACAAACCAAAAAACAAAAATAAAACAAAACCTCAAAAGTACATTAGAAAGCCTTCTAAACAAAAGTAGGATTAAGACTAGGGTTACTCTTAGTCAAAAATCACAAATTAAGGATGAGCAAAATTTCACTTCATCCCTTATTTTACTTTAAAAATGTGTTCCCTGGGATCCCTGGGTGGCGCAGCGGTTTGGTGCCTGCCTTTGGCCCAGGGCGCGATCCTGGAGACCCGGGATCGAATCCCACATCGGGCTCCCGTGCATGGAGCCTGCTTCTCCCTCTGCCTGTGTCTCTCTGCCTCTCTCTCTCTCTCTCTGTGACTATCATAAATAATAAATAAAATTAAAAAAATAAAAATAAAAATAAAAATGTGTTCCCTAAATGAAATGACTATGACTTACTTTAAAATAATTCAAAAGGTAAGAGAGGAACATCAATTAAACAATATTGGCCGTATCCAAATAATTGAAGTTGGGTAACAGATACGTAGAACTTTGTTATTCTCTCTACTTTTGTGCTCATTTAACAATTTCCATAATAAGGTTTTCTAAACTATGTGATTTATATCAAAATAGCTTTTCTAATCACAGTTAATGAACAGAAATATTCTAACTTTTAAATTAAAAAAAGCATACCACTTATTTAACAGGGCACACTACTTAAACCTGGTAGTTCTACCAACTCACCTAGGGTATATTCACTGCCACCTGGTGGCAACATACCTCACTTGCATGCTCTGTTTTAAGAGTTGAAGAACATGAATGACATCTGCAAACCTCAAACATAGGAAGTACTTGTAATATCACATACTGCCTAAAAAATGTATTTATTAACTCCAATAGTAAACAAAAACTGATGAGAAACCTCTTCTATAGCAGAAAACACAACTAAGTTGGAACAAGGTTAAAGAGAAATATAAAATATAGAATAAGAACCGCCTCTCCAGTCCTAGTAAGTCATTCCAAGCTTCAGCTTGCTCCTATTTAAGAATTAGACTAGAGCAGTGGTTCTCAAGAAGGCAGAATTTTGTCCCCAGAGAATATTTTGAAATATGTGGAGATATTTTTGGTTACCGCAACTGGGTGGTGGGTGGGGTTTGCTACTGGCACCTAGTGGGTAGAGGCCAGGGATGCTGCTAAACATCCTACAATGCAGAGAATCTCCCCTTGTCCAACAATAAAGAGTTACTCAGCCCGAAATGTCAACAGTGCTCCTGTTGAAAAAAACTTTTTTTTTTTTTAAGATTTTATTTATTTATTCATGAGAGAGAGAGAGGCAGAGACACAGGAGAGGCAGGCTCCTCGCAGGCCCAAAGCCAAAACGTTCAACCACTGAGCCACCGGGCATCCCAAGATTTATTTTATATTTTAGAAAGAGAGAGGGACACCTGGGTGGCTCAATGGTTGGGTGTCTGCCTTTGGCTGGGGGCATGATCCTGGAGTTCCAGAATCGAGTCCCACCATCCAGCTCCGTGCATGGAGCCTGCTTCTCTGCCTGCCTGTGTCTCTGCCTCTCATGAATAAATAAAATCTTTAAAAAGAGAGAGTGTGTGTGTGTGCGTGTGAGGGGCGGAGGGAGAAGGATCTCAAGCAGACTCCGAGCTAAGTGTAAAGCCCAACTCAGGGCTCTATCTCATGACCTCAAAATCATGACCCAAGCCAAAACCAAGAGTCAGATGCATAACCGACTACACCACCCAAGCACCCCAATATCTTTTTTCCTTAATGTATTTTAGTAAGGTAAACACTTAATGCTAAATGAAGGATTATTAATTGCTGTTTATTCATTAGAAATTACAATGACAGTAACACAGACCTTACCTTCCAGACTAAGAATGAAACCAACAGTACTACAGAAGAGACACCTAATTTAACCTTGAGAATCACCCCCTCCTAATCTTCCAGAATATTGTTATGATGGCCATGTAACTTTTCCACCCTGGGTAATTTAGCCTTCAAATGCATGACTGAGAGTTCATTGAGGAATACAGAAGTAGTGATAAGAAGAATGCCAACTCATACAGTAAACCCCAACACCCAGTTAAATGTAGATATCAAAAGAAACTTTAAAGCATAAAACACATAAAGCAAAGTTATACAAACTATATAGCATTCCTTACCTGGGTATTTTGGAAGTAATGCCTCCAGAGAGGCCTAATTTTATCTTGACCACCAACATCCCATACTGTGAAACAAATGTTCTTATATTCTACTGTTTCCACATTAAAACCTACAAAGAAAAAAAAAAGACAATTGTGCAAAATGTCATTTAGAAAATATACTCCGTAATCAACAAATTGAATAAACCTAAGCCAGTTATAATGATAGATATATGCCATAGTATACCTGTCCAAACCCTGTACCTAGAATGTACAACACCAATGAACTCCAAGGTAAACTATGGACTTTGGATGATTATGTCAATGAGGTTCATCAGCAATACAAATGTACCACTCAAGTGAGTGACACTGATAAAGGGGGAAGCTATATATATACTTGGGGGCAGGGAGTTTATGGGAAATCTCTGTGCCTTCCTTTCATTTTTTTCTGTGAACATAAAGCTGCTCTAAAATACTAAAACCTTAAAAATTTTTCAAAATTAAAGCATACTCTATTTCATTTTATAATATATCATTATGACATAAATTAGTCATCTGTAAACTTTCTTACCAATGGTAGGAATGGTGGTGACTATCTCCCCTAACTTCAGTTTATACAGAATGGTCGTCTTGCCAGCAGCATCCAATCCAACTAGAAAAAGACATTATAGATTTTAAATCTAGGCCAAAAATGCACACTAAGAATTAATTTCACAACAACTTTATAGTTTGAAAGCAAAAGTTAACTGGTCATGGCACAAATGAGTTAGAAATGAAATTACTTCATTTCTATCCTAAGGGCAACACCTGCTGCAGAAAGCTTTTCTATTTTTCTTTCTAGACCTAAAGAGACATGTAGCAGTGAAAAGAAGAGTATCTGACTGACTCAGGCTCTAGTCTCTAGATTTGCTTTGCCACAAATTAGTTAAGGGTCTTTAAACAAATCACTCTAGAAAACTAAGACCAGAGAAATCAGCTGTAAAACAAGAAGATGGAATCATTTAACCTAAGATCTTTTCCAATTCACGTCCTTTTTTTAAAAATTTTTATTTTATTTTATTTATTCATAGAGACAGAAAGAGGGGGGGGGGGGAGAGGCAGAGACACAGGCAGAGGGAGAAGCAGGCTCCATGCAGGGAGCCCGACATGGGAATCGATCCAGGGTCTCCAGGATCACGCCCTGGGCTGCAGGCGGCGCTAAACCGCTGCGCCACCGGGGCTGCCCTCCAATTCAAGTCCTTATTAATTCTACAAACTATTATCATTTTTAAAAACCCAAGTTACAAGTTGAATCAGAGAACACATAAAAACAAATGAATAAAAATTATCTTAAAAAATATGGTAACCATGCACTAGCATCCTTAAATGATAGTAAAGGAAAAAGAGGCCAATTTTACCCCTACCTAAATCCATTCCTACATCAGATACACAGAAACAAGAACAAAAGATTGGTTAATTTGGATTGTAAAAAATGGCCCTATCTCATTAATCCCAAATGTAACTAATGTCTAAATTCTTAAAACTATTCCTTTGAGGGAGAATACAAGTAGGGAAGAATTTGCTTGGTTTTTTTTTTGTTGTTGTTGTTTTGTTTTTAAAGATTTTATTAATTTATTTGTGAGCGAGCACGTGCATCAGGGAAGGGTAGAGGGCAGAAAAGACTCCCCACTGTTGGAACATGAGCAGAGGGGAGCGGGAAAGGGACAAGCAGACACCCCCCACACTCCCCACCCCCTGAGCAGGGAACCTGATGTGGGGCTCCATCCCAGAACCCTGGGGTCATGACCTGAGATAAAGGCAGACACTTACTAAGCCATTCAGGCACCCAAAAATGTTTTTTGTCTCTGAAGGGGAAAAAAAATCCATCCTCAAGCAAGAGGGTATACTTCTTTATTTCAGTGATAGTGATGAGCAAATTAAATGCTTATTTCAAGTACAATTCTCTCAAAACCTGCATATTCCAATCTGCCAAACCATTCTAAATGGAAGGTCAATATCTAATAACTTCAATGACTGTTATTGTTGTTCCAAGGACATCACATTTGGCCTAGATTTACGCTATCAAGAGATTCTGAAATGAATTCAACTGAGTATTGATTTAAGCAAGGATGCTTTCCAAATATTTAAATCAAGCATGACATGGCACATGAAATGAACACTATTAAGTTTAAAAAACACACACAGAAATCACCCTACTTATCTAATTTATTTTACTGTGCAAGTAAGTTTAACTTCCATCAGTCCAAACAGAATTAAAAGCTACAGGCAGGGATCCCTGGGTAGCTCAGCGGTTTAGCACCTGCCTTTGGCTCAGGGTGTGATCCTGGACTCTCATGATCAAGTCCCGCATCGGGCTCCCTGCATGGAGCCTGCTTCTCCCTCTGCCTGTGTCTCTGCCTCTCTCTCTGTGTCTCTCATGAATAAATAAATAAAACCCTAAAAAAAAAATAGAAATAAAAAAACTAAAAAAAAAAAAAAAAAAGCTATAGGCAATTTCAGCCATCTACACATCTACCCATACAACCACCTTTTCTGTTCTGTACCCTACAAAAGGTAGCTTTAAGAACTCTCTGTACACTCAGGCAATTTAGCATTGGATCTTCATATCCTGTGTCCTCTAATCAAACTGTGTTCCCTACTCCTTCATTCTGAGATATTCAGGTTTATTCTTTCCAAAATACTATGACACCTAGTAGACAGAGTGAACAACTAAGCCCTCACTAATGGGTACAAGAAAAGCCAACTTACATCAGGAGGTGTTTGTTTATTGAGTATGCATGGGACAGTATAAAAAAAATCGAATTCTAAAATATACACAAAGAAACAAAAGTAACCTACAACGAGGAGAACAATATGATCGTTTCACCATTTGGAAAAGCTGAATGTGATATACCAAGCACTGGTGTTACAATCAACTGATGAATCACTGAATTCTACCTCTGAAACTAATAATACACTATTTGGTAATTAATTGAATTTAAATAATTTTTTTTTGAAAAAAGAAAAAGCGGTCACTTGAGAAAATAAGTCCTTCTTAGTTGAAGTTGATCAAACTTTAAAATAAAGAAATATTCACCCTTAAGTAACTAAATTAAGAGGCTCCTGGGTGGCTCAGTCAAGCGACCAACTCTTGATATTAGCTCAAGTCATGATCCCATGGTCGTGGGACTGAGCTCTAAGTTGTCTCTGCTTTGAACGTGGAACCTGCTTAAGATTTTCCCTCTCTGGGATGACTGAGTGGTGCAGTTGGTTAAGCAGCCAACTCTTGGTTTCAGCTCAGGTCTTGACGTCAGGACTGTGAGACGGACCCCTGCACCCAGCTCTGCGCTCAGCATGGATTCCTTAAGATTCTCTCTCCCTGGATGCCTGGGTGGCTCAGTCAGTTGGGTGTTTGCCTTTGGCTCAGGTCATGATCCCGGAGTCCTGGGCTCCAGTCCCACATCAGGTTCCTTAGTTGGAGCAGAGCCTGCTTTTCCCTCTCCCTCTGCCTGCTGCTCCCCCTGCTTGTGTTCTCTGTCAAATAAATAAAATCTTAAAAAAAAAAAAAAAGATTCCCTCTCCCCCCCAGCTCCTCCCCCTGCTTGTGTGTGCGGGCTCTCTCTCTCCAATAAATGTTTAAAAAAAGATTCTCTCCCTTTCTTTGTTCCTCCTTTGCTTGCTCGAGCTCTCAAAAAAAAAAAAAAAAAAAGCAACTAAGTCAAAATATGATTAAGCCCAAGTCAGAAATGAAACTAAGATATTGGTTAGAAAAAACATGATTTAGGTTGTGAGAACTATGGCACATGCTAGTCCTCACTGCAAGTCCAAGTAAACCTTATGCCATCACCAAAAACAATTTCAATACAAAAATACTGACAAAGAATGGAAAAAACCCAAGACAAATTATTATTGATGTAACTATTTTAAGTTATACAAAAGCACAGAGGTAACCCAATTTTTAATGAAACTGTTAATACCTGCTTGTATGCATAACTAATATTCTTCTACAGTTAGAATTTTCTTCACACAATAAACGTGTTACTTTCATTTAAAAAAATTCTCAAATAGCAGATTTCCTTAATTAATTTGTCGGCCTGGTTATATTTCCTGATGTATCTATCAGGAAGATAACTGCTTAAGAGCCTTGAATATATTCTATATACTTATTTTTAATGAAATGGGAGAATATTTATTTATTTATTTATTTATGTATTTATTTATTTATTTATTTATTATGGTGTTTAATTTGTCAACATATAGAATAACACCCAGTGCTCATCCTATCAAGTGCCCCCCTCAGTGCCCGTCACCCAGTCACCCCCACCCCCCGCCCACCTCCCGAAATGGGGGAATTGTTGACAAAATAATGCAACCATAAGGCTTTTTAAACAAGTTATCTTTAAAATAAAAACTGTAAGACAACAGTTAAATGGCTCACAGCCACATACAAGACTCTAAAATCATGAAGACATCCTTGAGTTGCACAAAAATATAATAGTGCTATATAAATGCAAACCAAAAGTTTTTTTAAAAAGGAATTTCTACTGTGAGATTAAAGATGCACAGATTAATTTATACCATCACTTAAAACTTATTATATAGTTCTTTACCCAAAACCATTTTGGCCTAACAATTTTGTCCTACTTCAGTCATTTCTTAAGTATGTATTTCCTTAATGTTGCAATATTTGGCAATGAGATTTCTCCACAAAATGAAACTATAACCAATTCTCAACCAGCCAAGATAAGACTCTAATCTGTACATTCCAGTAATGCCCTCCCTCCCTTCCACTCCATAAACAAGTCACTGTATTCAAAGATATACTAGAATTACTTGTTCTCCTTAACTAGACCTGCACTTTGACCAAAATATTAACGCAGCAAAATTACCCAAAACTCTTTGCCAATCATTAAAAAGTATATCTACTAAACTGTGGCAGCAAGAAATATTTATATTTAAATTGAAAGACACTAGATTCCATGACCTTAAGTTGGAAAAGGAAAATGCAGAAAGGAGACTGGAATGAAAAAAGTGTATTTTCAGATGGATGAAATTTCACAGTTAATTTTTCTTTTTATGTTTTCCTTTATCTTTCGATTTTCTACAAGGAAGCTTAAAATACAACTTCACAATTATTTAAAAATAATTTGCTTACTGTATTCTGAGCACCACACTAGGTGGTTCTGTACATTTTTGTAATATAAACCTCACAACTACCCTCCATTTTTCAAACACAACATCAGAGATTCAAAAATGTCCCCAGAATCAGAGGAGTAGAAGAGGTATGCAAAACTCCAGGTTTTATGGAAAAATTAGATCCCTCAAGTATCGCTGATGGGAATGCAAAATGGTGTCCCTGCTTTAGAATCTGAACAGTTTTGTCAGTTCCTTAAAATGTTAAATATAGTTAACACAGAACACAACAATTCTACTCCTAGGTATTTATTTACCCAAGACAATTAAAATATGCCCATACAAAAACTTTTTTTTCAAATCTTCACAATAGCATTACTCATAACAGCCAAAGAGGGAAACAATCAGATTTCTATCAAATGATGAATGGATAAACAAAGTATGGTATATCCATAAAATGGAATTACTCTTTAGGCATAAAAAGGAATGAAGTACTGACATATGATATAATATGAACGTTTAAAACATTATGCAAAGTGAAAGAAGCTAGGCACTAAAGAACACACTGTATGATACGTGAACTATCCTGAGTAGACAAACGCATAGAAACTAAAAGTAGGTGTGTGGTTGTAAAAGAACTGGGCAAAAAGGGCAACAGTAACCACTAATGGGAACAGAGTTTCTTTCAGGGCTGATGAAAATGTTATAGAATTAAGACAGTGATGATGGTGGGGCACCTGGGTGGCTCACTCAGTTTAGGGTCCAACTCTTGACTTCAGCTTAGGTAATCATCTCAGAGTGGTGAGATACACGCCCCCCCCCCCCCCCGCAAGTGGGCTCTGTGCTGGACATGGAGCCTGCTTAAGATTCTCTCTCCCCTCTCCCTCTGCTACTGCCCACACACAGCAGCACACTCTCACACTCTCTTAAAAAAAAAAAAAAACAGTGGCAATGGTGACACAAGTTGTCATTGTTTTTTAAAGATTTTAGGGACACTTGGGTGGCTCAGCGGTTAACCGCCTGCCTTCGGCTAAGGGCGTGATCCTGGAGTCCCAGGATCAGGTCCCACATTGGGCTCCGTGCATGGAGCCTGCTTCTCCTTCTGCCTGTGTCTCTGCCTCTCTCTCTTTGTGTCTCTCTCATGAATAAATAAATAAAATCTTAAAAAAAATTTATTTATTCATTTGACAGCTCATAAGCAAAGGGAGTGGCAGGCAGAGGGAAAGAGTGAACAGAGCCCAAAGTGGGGCTGGATCCCAGGGCCCTGGAATCATGACCTGACTGAAGGCAGACACCTAATCAACTGAGCCACCCAGGCACTCCTACACAAGTTTGTGAATAAAAATCACTGTACTGTATACTTTAGAGGGATAAGTTTTTTTCTGTGAATTACATTTCAATTTTTTAAAATTAAAAACAAAAAAGCCCTAAGTCAATGCCAGAGCTCTCAAATGGTATTTATATATGGCCATCGTGCCTTTAGCTTTTCTGGTGGACACACTCTATCTTAGAATTTTATCTAATTCCTCAGAAGTCTGATCATCAAAACTGAGTGAGGCTATCAGATGTACAGAAAAATTATTATAAGCTTAGGTCTTACTTCTACCCAACAGATCAGAAATATCTACACTTTGATCAATGTGTTAATTAGCAGCAAATTATCAAAGTCTGAAAGCCATCTGCAATAATGCCAAAGGGTACTTCTAAAAATGGCTGTATCAACTAATAGTGGTGGCATAAACTAAAGATTTTTTTTGCCTTTCTATTGTTTCCTTATATCACATAATAGAAGGGTTTTTTTTTTTTTTTAAGACTGGCAAGTATGTTTTCAACTAATGACCTGAGAAAATGCTCCTAATAAGCGAAGTCAAAAGGAGAGAACACTAATTTCCTCTTAAAAGCCTGACAGTAAATGTTAACAATAGTGAAATGGTGGAATTATAGATAATTATTACTTTATTCTTTTTCATATTTTTAAAATTTAATAGAAAGGACGTGTTCTTTTTTGAAATGAGGACAGAAAATTAAAAATCACATAATGAATGGATTTACAAAATATGCTAAGGAAAAAGCATGAAACACCACTCTTCAGCTTGCAGTCTCACTTAAAATATTAGTAATATTTTTCAAATTGGCAAATAGAGGAACCTCTCCGGTCCCAAAAAACCACAGTCACATATAAGGCAATACAGAACTATACTGTTATTGGCAATCTTTTAGAAAGCAACATTTTTTTCAGCCTTTCAACAGCCAAAAGTTTACAAGTTCAAAGAGCTTAGAATTAATAATCCCTCTACAGAAACACTGCTGTTTTCCAATGTAAACAAAACTTGGGGAATCATTTATGAAAATTACATCTTATCACAGAACAAGGCACTGGAAATCAATCTAAAAATAAGGTAATGCAGGGCTACATGAGGAATCTAAGACGGCAACTGGTCATCTTTGAATTTAAAGCTCAACAATATTGACGTGAGTGATTTTGCCAAAAAACAAACTAGGCAATTCTGTCAATCTATACTTTAAGTGACATTACATTTAAAACATTGCAATCGTTTTTTTTTTTTAAAGATTTTATTTATTTATTCATGAGAGAGAGAGAAAGAGAGAGAGAGAGAGAGAGAGAGAGAGAGAGAGGCAGAGACATAGGCAGAGTGAGAAGCAGGCTCCATGCAGTGAGCCTGACGCGGGATTTGATCCTGGGTCTCTAGGATCATGCCCTGGGCTGAAGGCAGGCACTTAACCGCTGAGCCACCCAGGGGTCCCTGCAATGGTTTTTAATTAGTTAACTACAAGCTATAATTTCAAACACTTTTTAAAATTACTTGAACTTCTGGGAGAACAAGTGTAGGAATAAAATTTTAAACTTCACAGTAATTTGGCAAACCAGACCCATGAACTGCTATCTTTCAATAACACTGAAAAAGTCACGGACTCAAGAAGGTATGAATTTTATGTAAGCCTTATAAAGGAAAAGGAAGCGCACATACCTGCCAGAGAATGTTAATATGAAGAAAACAATCATTGACTCTTAATTCTAAACTCGAATAGGGGTAAGAGACCTTAAGAGTGATTATGCAGTCACTCATAAAGCTAGACAAAAAAATCAATTATCAAACTTCCAAATCACCTCTTTCCCTACCTTTTACGGTTATGCTCCATTTGATGAGTTACTATAAAGCTTACCTTGTGACTTTAGTGTTTTTAATGAAGGAAACCAGAATATTCCAAAATTAAAGAGCAAAACAAGAATAGGAAACTGGAGTCATAAAACATTTAACATAAAATGAGTAATTCCAAAGCATGACTTCTATCCCTTGCACAAATGCACAAAATGAAATATTCTCCCATTTTCTTTCAACTGTTATTTTTTGGGGAGAACGGGGGAGAAATGCTCCCCTAATACAGTAAATTTAGGAAAGTGCTTATAGCATAACGCTACCTTTCTTCTCCCTCTGAAACTTTAAGCTATCACAAAAGACTTAGGGTATGGAACACAGCAATTCATTTACAATAAATCTTAAGTAAAAGGACCAACATAGTACATTTCCAGGGACACAACTGTGTGCTAGTTAATTTCTTTAAGGAACAACCTGGAAATTCATTTATCACAGTCCAAAGTCCTCCCACTGACTTCAGATCCTTTACAGACTGTCAATTTTCAGCCACCTTAAAAACTTAATATGCTTGCTCTCCTTTAAAAATTGTCTCTATAAATGAAATCTTAAAAAGGTTTAAAGAGAAAACACTCTGATTTATCTTTATGAATGAATTATTAACAATTGTTCCATGAATTGTGAAAAAGCCAGAAATTAACAATTAAGAGAAAGAACTCAATGTATATACCCTTAATCTTCATACACTTGGAATTAATCCTGCTTTGGAAAACTTTCAATGGTAGTAGAACTAGAAAATAACGACTTTTTCTCCCCACTCTAGAAAACAAGCTCCTAAGGAACAAACAAGTTTCAACGTTTAAAGTTAGAGGAGCTCCTTTTTGCATTATGCAGGTCCGCAGGGCTCAGCTGTGATGTAGAGACTACTCACAGTAATAGGGGGGAGGGGTTGCTTACATGACCTAAGTGTCAAGCCCCTTCTCACTCGGCTGGAAAAAAAAAAGGGGGGGGGGGGAAATGGCGCTGAAAAGCAGTTTTTTTAAAAGCCTATTTTCCAAAATAACTTAAAAAAAAACATTGTAATTATTATGTAACAAGGCTACCCTAAAACTAAATGTCATAATGTTGTTACTGGAAATTTATTATCGGCTTACAAAAAATAGCTTTAAAAGTTTTTTTTTTTTTTCATTAAACCTTAACCAGCTAGACAAAAATCCGTTTGAAAACCAGAAAGTAAACCAAACATATTTAGGTTTTGGGAGTGGCCAAAAGGTGATTCGGGATAAACCTCACAGTTTTCAGGAAAAGAATATGCAGGGGAATCCAGCGCGAAGTTAAGTTTGGCAGAGGGAGCGCTGAGGACTCCGGCCTCTTCTGAAGCCGAGGGTGCTCTGCTCCCTTTGCCACTGCGCTCTGGGCCTGCTCACTTCCTGCCCCGGGCGGCTCCGGGCTCCCGGCGACCGCTCGCTCACATTCCACTGGAGTGTGCAGAGTGTGTACACGGGGGCAGAAAGGGGGAGGAGGAAGGCTGGAGTAGTTCTGCCTCCGTCCTGACCGCTGCCCACACCGGAGGAGAGACGACCTGACCGCACTCTCAGAATTGGCCTCGCCAGTGTCTTCCGGGCTCAGCGAGGTGAGAGTTCGCTTCCCCGCCACCCCAACCCGCCCCACCCCCCCAACAGATCTCCGCCCAATCTTGTCTGGCTTTTCAGTAAGATCGAGTAGAGAAAGCCAGAAGGAAGAAACCTTGCCCGGGCGGCCCTGTCCCGGCCTCTGAGACAGATCCGGGGCGAGCGCCCACCTTTCGCCCCCATTGTTTCCCCGTGAAGACTTCCTCCTGACCCCGAGCCCGCCGCCCCTCCCCCACCACAGCGGGCGGAGGGACAAACAGGCCCCGCGCACCGAGACCCGGCCCTCCCTCCCGGAGCCGCACTGGGGCCTGCCCTCCGTGCGCGGCCCCTCACTCACCCATCAAAATGCGCATCTGCTTCTTGCCGAAGAGGCGGGAGAAAAGGGAGGAGATGGTGAGGCCCATGGCAGGAGCGACACTTGCAATGGGCAGGAGCAGAAGGGGTTTTGGGGGCGTCCCCGGGGCTCCTCCTTTCACGCTCCCAACAAACTGAGCGAAGGAAGAGGAGCTGAAGGAGGAAGAGGGCGGCAGAGACGCCTCGCAGCCGGCGTGTCGGCCGAAGCTCCGGGACAAGAACTAACGGGGCGAGGACCTGCTCGACGACTGGCGCGGCAGCTCCGGGTCTGGCGTTTTAGGCTTCTGCTATGCCACGTCACGCGGTAGCCGCGGCGACTCCAGCAGCGGCCCGGCCCCTCCAACGCGGACAGAATCGCGTCACCGCCGCCCCAACCCCCTGCGCTTCCGGTGCTGGCCCAGCCACTGCGCCTGCGCACGGAGGGGATCGGCCAGTTACGCCGACGTAATTCTCTGGCCGCCGTCCCCTCCCGGACGTGGACCAGCGGGACGAAGCCAGTTAGCGCATGCGTACTGGGAGACGGACAAAGTCCCACAATGCTTCGGTGGTTCACTTCCAATCAGATTCTAGGCGAGGCGCTGCCGCCCGGGTGAATACATCCAGGAGTCCGTCGTCCTTACTTCCTGAAAGGCGCTCTGTGCATTGTGGGTTAGGAAGTGGACCTTGGGTCATCCCGCCCTCTGAGCGTCCTGTTCTTAAACTCTCCGCGCGGTGGGGATTCCCCCGTTCACGACCGGACACGTTTCACGCGTGGAGCCAGACACTTGCCCCAGTGGAGAGGTGAAGAGGAGGGTCCTTGCTTTCCCAGGTGATAAGTAGTTAAAAGTTGTACAGGTGTAGAGGCCTTGACGCCTTGACCCCTCCACGCCAGGTCGTGCTGAGCGTCCCTGATCCTGTGTCAAGACGAGGGAGTTCCGAGACATGTTCATCGACGAGTGCAGCTATTTATTTATTATATATTATCTATCTATTTATTTATTTATTTATTTATTTATTTATTTATTTATTTTGAGTGCAGCTTTTTAAGACAAGCCAAGGAAGGATTGCTTTTCTTGTATCATTTCTGTCCCTGAAGTATGGAAAACTTAATCCCTTATGCTAAGAAAGTGAAAAGCCTCATTTTCTTTTTCTTTTTCTTTCTTTCTTTTTTTAATTTTTATGTATCCATTTGAGAGACAGCACAAGCAGGGGGAGAGGCAGAGGGTGAAGCCAACTCCCAGCCGAGCTGGGAGCCCAACATAAGCCTCCATATTTATTATCTTAATATTTTTCTGGTTACAAAACAAGGTATACATCTTGTAAAAAAAAAAAAAACCCCACACATATATATATATATATATATATTTAGGTCTTGCTATATGTGTGTGTGTGTGTGTATAGCAGGTCCCCCGGGTGGCTCAGCGATTTAGTGCCGCCTTCAGCCCTGGAGACCTCGGGATTGAGTCCCACATCGGGCTCCCTACATGAGGCCTGCTTCTCCTTCTGCCTCTGTCTCTGCCTTCTCTCTCTCTCTGTGTCATGAATAAATAAAATCTTTAAAAATATATATTTAAAGCACATTCCCCATAATTCTCTCCATATGCCCATATTTCCTCTGTACCATTGGTACAGTTCAGAATTAGTAGCTCCCCCTTACCTACTCTCCTACCTTAGTTAAGGCATGATCACCTACCCTTCAGATCTGATTAAAAGTTTAACTCCCTTGGAAAATACTTTGCTGATATCACTAGATGAATTACTCAGGCTCAAGAATCATAACCACCCTTCTAGTTATGATTTCACATTTAACATTATTGACAACCTTCCTCTCTTACCCCACTGTCTGAAAGCATTGAGAAGACAAGACTCTAATCCCCTTTTGCATGCCACTGTATTCCCTGGAGTTGGCACACCATGACACTTAACTGTGTTTGAGTGAGTAGAGAGATGGCTGAAAAACCTTTGTTATATCCATACAATGCAATACTATCAGAAGTTAGAACAGAATTGTAAATTCTAATAAAAATATCTCCATGACATAGAGTTAGTGGGAAATGCCAAATAATGACTAAGTACTGTAAAACAATATAGAAATGTAGATTTCCCATGCGTTTGTGTGTATGTGTGCATGTGTGTTAACGCAGAGCAAGAATTTTGAAGTAGAGTCTGCAGTAGTCATGATGTTGGTTACCTATTGGAGGAAGAGGAGGCCTGCCCAGCAAGTGAGGGAACTTGGTTTTGGTGTAGTAGTCAAAAGACAGCTTAATCTGTATTTTTAAAAATTTGCTTTATTGAAATATAATTTGTATATGAAATAAAATTCACCAGTTTTAGCTGTACAATTAAATGAATATAAACAAATATATACAGTAGCATAGCCAACACAATTGTGATATCAATCATTTCTATTACCCCCAAAAGGTCCCTCATACTCCTTTGTACTCACCTGTAGCCCTTGGCCAAACACTAATCTGTCATGATAGCTTTTCCCTTTCCCAAATTTCATATAAATGATATCATACAATATGTAATCTTTTGTGTATGGCTGTTTTCTCCTAGAATAATGATTTTGAGATTCGTCTGTGTTATAGTGTGTATCAATAGTTTGTTCTTTTTCTGCTGAGTAGTATCTCACTGTATGGATATACCACAATTTCTTTATCCATTCACTAACTGATAGGCTTTGGGTTGTTTGAAGAATTGAACTTTTATGAATAAGACTGTTTGAACATTTGAGTACAAGTGTTTGTATATCTGTATTAATTTTTATAAGTATTTATCCATGCATTACTTACATAATTTAAAAAGTAATCTGAATTTGATAAATGAGGCAACCACTGTTAGACATATATTCTTCCCCTTTTCTCCCTGAAATACTAACATCTCTATATAGATGGTAATGGGATTTTGTACTGCTAAGCAACTCCTTTTCAATTTAATAATGTACTGTGGACATTTAAAAATATCAGTATTTATATATTTAACTTATTCTTTGTAAGAGCTACATTCCATTGTAGCTATGTAAAATAACTTATTTAACTGATCTATAAAATTGAAAACATCCATATTCTTTGATCTAAAAATTCCACTTCCAGGAATTTATGGTAATGAAAATTTCCCTCAAGTTTGTTATGTTCAGGGGCACCTTAACTGACTCAGTCAGTTAAGCATCTGACTCTTGATTTCAGCTGGGTCCTGATCTCAGGGTGGTAAGATAGAGCCCCAAGACAGGCTCAGAGCACTCAGTGGGAAGCCTGCTTGAGATTCTCTCCTTTTCCCACTGCCCATCCCCCCACTCACATGCCTGCTCTAAATAAATAAATGAAATCTTTTTTTTTAAGTTTGTTACATTCAATGTTCATTACATCATTTTGATGAGAAACTGGAAATATCAATTTTTTTAAAAAATAAATATTTAAATCACCCTTTGTTTCTTTGCTTTGCTGATCACTAATCCAGATAATTCAGTTTTGTTTTTGCTACAATTTTATAAATTCACAATAATAAGTAAAGACAGTAATTAGACCCATTGCCAGAATAAATATTTTTTTAAAGATTTTATTTATTCATGAGAGACACACAGAGAGAGGCAGAGACACAGGCAGAGGGAGAAGCAGGCTCCATGCAGGGAGCCCCATGTGGGAGTTGATCCAGGGACCCCAGGATCACGCCCTGACCTGAAGGCAGATGCTTAACTGCTGAGCCACCCAGGTATCCCCAGAATGAATATTTAATTTCTTTTCAACAGTACTATCCTACGAGGTTCTATAGGTAGTTATTGCAACTGGTGCATTCTGCAGGATGGAATTGAATAAGACAAATCTGCAAAGCTTGAAAATGAGTAAGATATTTTGTGTTGTTGAAGGCCTGCTGAGTAAAGCTTCATTTGGTAGAACTACACTTCAGAAAACTGTCATTTCTCAGAATGACCTTGAGCACTCAAAAGCAAAAACTTTAGTCTGGTGGATAATAAGGTAAAGCAATTTTGTACACAGCAATGGGTTTATTCTGCCCCTTTTAAAAGTTTTTAGGGGTGCGTGGGTGGCTCAGTCAGTTAAGCATCTGCCTTCAGGTCAGGCATGATCCCAGCGTCCTGGGATCAAGTCCCAAGCCTGGCTTTCTGCTCAGTGGGGAGCCTACTTCTCCTTCTCCCTCTACTGCTCTCTCTCTCTCTCAAATAAAGTTTAAAAAATATTTTTAAAAAGTGTTGTTAAAAGTTTCCAAATATTCCAGCAATAGCAAGCAAGGTAAAATTAAATGTAATTAAATATACAACATTTAAAGAGGAAAGAGAAATCAATTGTTTTTTGCACTTAAACTCTTCAAGCATTTAATAGAAATGTTTGTTAATGTCTTCTGTGAAGCAAAATACTATTTAATTTTCTAATAAAGTCTATACAATTACCTGGGAGATCCACACATTTTCCTAGAATTTAACTTAAATGGAATTAAAGACTATATCTTCCTTGAAAAGAACCTTCCGGGATCCCTGGGTGGCGCAGTGGTTTGGCGCCTGCCTTTGGCCCAGGGCGCGATCCTGGAGACCCGGGGTCGAATCCCACGTCAGGCTCCCTGCATGGAGCCTGCTTCTCCCTCTGCCTGTGTCTCTGCCTCTCTGTCTCTCTCTGTGTGACTATCATGAATAAATAAATAAAATCTTTAAAAAAAAAAAAAAGAACCTTCCTTTGCACTGGAAATACATATAATGAGTTGCTTAGCAGTTGATCAACTTAAAATTGCATTTTGGAAGCTTGTTAGATAAAAAAAAAAATCCTTGTATCCTTTAAGTAGACAATGTCTGTTTTGAATTTTATTTTCTTTTTTTTTTTTTAATTTTTATTTATTTATGATAGTCACACACAGAGAGAGAGAGAGGGAGGCAGAGACACAGGCAGAGGGAGAGGCAGGCTCCATGCACCGGGAGCCAGACGTGGGATCCGATCCCGGGTCTCCAGGATCGCGCCCTGGGCCAAAGGCAGGCGCTAAACCGCTGCACCACCCAGGGATCCCTGTTTTGAATTTTATATAGAATTCCTTAAAACAGTGTTCACCTGATTCTGACGGTCTTCCTGAAATGACTCTAATTCCTCATAATTTCTTCCAAATCTGTTTAATTAAGCAATATAAATTCTGATGTCCATCTCTAGCATCCAAAACCTAAACCAAAACGAACCACAAACAAAACAACAAATGAAGATGTCAAAGTAGATTTTTCAGATTTCCTTTTAAGATATTAGCTATACATCAAGTAGCAAATAGAGGTTACAAAACAATGTCAATGGCCCACTGAAATGTCTCTTTTGGTAAAGACAAGAATAATCAGAGTAGAGAAGTTAAGTAACCTGCCAGAGACCTTCACAGGTAATAACCAGTAGAATTGGGATAAGAACCCAT